CCTGTCAGGGTCTAAGATACCCCACAATAGAAGAAGTATTTAATAGTCGTGTGCCCCGAGACTTCAAGAATCATCAAGAGAGTGTTGTAGATTTGAAAAGAGAACTGTATCTTGCAGTCACTTGATAAAGAAGAGAGTTTGTAGACAAATGCTATAGAGGAATGAATGAGTAATGGGAATCTCCTGAAGAATGCGGAATTGGAAAAGGTAACCAGAGCATGATTGAGAATCAAGTTTCATGGAATGAGTTCATCACCATAGGCATGCTTTTCTTTGGTCGGGTTCTGTTCATTTGTTTCAGCCAACTTTCACCAAAGGCTTACATCACTTGCTAATTCTCACTTTCACGATTCCAGATATACTTTAATTTGTAGGTTGAATCTACATTTATTGTCACCCTTCACGTGAGCACAGGAGATCTTAAGAAGGGGACTATAGAGTCCTTCTTAGAAGGAGTAACAAAATACTCATGACAGCAAATATGGAGACAAAGTGTGGGACAGAAACTGAAGGAGGGAGATGTTCAGAGACTGCTCCACCTGGGTATCCATCCTATGTGCAGTCACCAAATGCAGACGCTGATGTGTATTACAGAAAGTGCATGCTGACATGAGCCTGATATAGCTGTCTCCTTAGAAATCTGCCAGAGTCTGACATATACAGAGTTGGATGCTCACAGCTAACCATTGAACTGATCATGGGATTCCCAATGGAGGAGTGAGTGAGAAGACTGAAGGAGCCGAAGGGGTTTGTGGCCCCATGGGGAGAGCAACAATACCAACCAACCATAGCTCCCAGGGTCTAAATCACCAGCCTGGGAGCACATAAGGAGAGACGCATGGCTCCAGCTGTATGTGTAAGGGAGGATAGCCTTGTTGGGCATAGGTGGGAGAGGAGGTCCTTGGTCCTGTGAAGGTTGGATGCCCTAGTGTGGGGAAATTCCAGGGTTGGGAGGTGGGAATGAGTGGGTGGGGGCATATCTTCATAGAAGAAGGAGGAAGGGAGATGGGATAGGGGGTTTCTGGGTGGGGGAGAAATGGCAAAAGGAGATAACATCTGAAATGTAAATAAAATATCCAATAAAGAAGAAAAATTTAAAAAATAGAAAAACAAGATAGCAAAATAACAATCAACACTAGAGAATTTTGTCAATGATGACAATACTGGGGGAACTAAGCCTTCATCCCACATATTCCTATCACAAATTAAAACAAAAGCATAATAAGTGTTAGAAAAAAAAAGTGAAAGCAGATCCCAGAAAGAAGATAGTTTTCCTGTCAGTAGAGTGAAAATGTCACTATTCCACAAAGTTATCATAGTTAAGTATATGTATTGCTTATGAAAACGGATTCAGTGGACGGTCAGTTACTTTGCATATGTCAGTGTCATTAGGTGTATTAACCTTTGTGATTTTATTGACTTCGTTTGCTATCTGGTAATATTTAATGAGCTAGATGTGATCTTTTCCTTTTTAATATGAATTTTCACACACACACACACACACACACACACGGAGAAAGACAAAGAATTAATATCACACACAACTTCTCCCCTCAACTTTAAACAAAATATCTCAAATATTTTTAAGGCACAGACCTTACAGATCTTTGAGAAGCTTCATCTATTCATTTAAACAGTGCAAGAGGAAAGCAGAAGGAAGCACAACATCACCCTTAGCTATCTGGTATAATATGCTCAATGGAGAAATTTACACACGTATCTATATAGTGCAATCTGTATACACATATATTATAGGCTTACATACGCTTATGCAGATTTGTCCATTAGGTTGAACTTTGTGTTTTTCTTAAAATTTCCTCTGTTGTGATGTATTTTTAATCTGTTTTATCTGTCAGTTTTAGGGAGAGTCGTAAATTTGAAGATCAAATTCTCTGTTCTTTATATGTTAGTCAGTTAAGTTCAAAATTGTCATGTAAAACATTACATTCATACTTTTAAATAATAAGTTATTTTATTGTCATTAGGTGTGTGTGTGTTTTATGCAGATGATTCTTGCTGTATAACCCAGGCTGAGTTTAAACTCAATCTTCATGCTTCAGACTTTAGAGTGCAGAGTGTACAAATGTGAAACAATCAATCTGGGTTAACAATGCTTCTTAGTAAAATATTATGCCATATTTTATGTATTTGTTGTTTTACAGTCTTAAATATTTCCCTGAGATATCATTTTTCTTCATTACTTCAAATGTTTCATCTGTCTTTATGTCTAATAAAAATGACCCCAACTCATTAGGACTCACAAGTTGTGCTGTCTGAGTCTGTCTTTCCTAAGCCTCATTTATCTAGATTTTTAATAATCTGCCATGGCCATCTTTGCTAATCATTCTACTTACAATCCTCAATCAGTTCGTTATCTCTGTCATCTCTGTTACAGTTACTAATCATTCCTTCTCCGAAGCTTCATGTTTTTATTTTTAACTTAAATCTTTAGAATTGACTTTTTTGAGTTTCATATTTTTTTTCCACTACTGAGTTGGATCTCATACATTTTCTTTCTAATGTTTTTGTTGGTTGCCTAACTAAAGCACCTACTTTCACTGTATAACAAAAACCAAAGTTCTTGATCACACAGCCCCAGTGCCTTTTCCTAGGCAGATGTCTGCACTGGAATTATTCTCAAATGCTGTTTCTATTTCATTTCATGCGTTGTGGAGTTCGCTCACTTTGTTTCATGCTCCAACATACGTTTCAAGTTGAGAGCTTTTTAACCAGCACTTTTACTGTTTTATGGGAGTAGATGAAGATTTTTTTCAGATATTTTTTCTTTTCTATGAACTCGTTTGTGAATTATACACGTTTTCCCACAGAATGGACTATGGGATTTATAACTGTGTATTTAAATATGTACACATGCATATATAAAATGTATATTGGCTTTTATCAAGAAGGCACATGTCATCATTATTTGCTGAAATGTACATCTGTTATACTTAGTCTTTAGTTGAAGACAGGTAATACGTACAGAGATAGTAAATAGAAATATCAGAGAAAAATGTATGGACATATTAAAAACTAAATATGAGTTTTAGTAAGGAATATGAAGTGAGCGATGGGTGAACATTAGAACCCCATGAGATTGCAGTAGAGCCAGAGCCTCATATATTACACATTGTACAATGATTTCCCTTGAGGACTGATTGTGTGCTTAAGTTCTAGAGTGTGTGCTTGGTATGCCCCAGGCCGTGGGTTCAGTCTCAAGAGCCACACATAGGTAGGCTACAAACAGATAAAAGTGCTAAAACCATTTATTCTAAATGCTAAAACCATTTATACTAAATGCTAAAGCCGTTTATACTAAAATGTATAAAATTCCCAAGTGTATATTTAAAAAAAAGAATTAGAGATGATTTCCTTTTGAAATCATTCTACCTTACCATAAAACAATTGCTAATGAAGAACAGGCAGACTGACCCATTAGGCAACTCTAGCCTACTGTCTGTCTCTTCATAAATAAAAATTGCATTAAATGTATTCACACTCATTTGCATCCTGTCTGTGACTGCTTTCCCATCAGAACAGTGGGGTGAGTACTTACAACGAATGCTATATGGCTCATAAAGGATAAAATATTGTCTGATATTTATCATCTGACCTTTTACTGAAAAGTTTACTGACAACCATATTAAATCATTTTCTATATTATAGAATAAATTTATAAGAAAATTCTTCCGTAGCCTGACTTGTGAAGCACACTTGGGTTCTGAGGAGATTTGACTTAGTGACCCTAACAGCTAGGACCTTACTTAGGAACTACATAATAAATACGATTCTTGTTCCTCTTATGCTTACAATTTATTTCTGTTTATTTGATTGGGAATACTTCTTTGCTGCCATTCCTCACAATCATTTCATTTCCTAGAAGACATAAGACTCCCAAGTGCTATTTTGTACATCTTTTGAAATAACAGTCATCCTTGATTGTTATTGATCTTACTAACTTGATCTTACACTGCTGATAACATGTAAAATAGATAATACATCAAACAATTCATCAATGAACTAAGCATTTGTGCACTCGTTAAATAAAATGGCAATACATTATTCTTTTATAAAATGGAATCGTCATGCCTTCCAGTTGGAAATCATGTTAAGTATTTAACTGTGTTGTGTATGAGCTTATACACTTTTGCCTTAAGGACGAGTTAAATAGAGAAGGTACCAATGGCAAAGAAGAAAGAAATAATTAAAGTTCTGCTCAGGAAGTCTTAGAGGTAAAAACCAAAGCCAAAACGAAACGAAACCAAAAAATAATACAATACAATTACAATACAAAACAAACAAACAAACAAATCCACGTATAACATAACCAGATCCCAGTTCTGAGGCACTGCTGAGCATAGTCGTGGCTCACCACCTTCTGTGTTTGGAGAATGCAGCTCTCGACAGTTACCATATGTGGAACATAGCATCAATGTCCAGTATTAACAATGGCATCTTTGCAGTCTGTGTTTTAGGGAACATTCATGTGCAACCTACTAGCTCATACACAATGGGTCAATTTGGTCAGCTACTTCCCAGGATGTTTTCCTGGGGAGACAGACAGGAAAAGACTGTTGCCTAAGCTTTGTGCAATACCCTTTGTTCTCTTACAGTGTAAGAAACCCTTCATCTGGGAGAATCTCTGTAGTTTTGTTCTAATAGCTGCTCTATTTATAGCAGTTTAATATTAAAGGACTTGAACTGATGACTTGGGGGTATTTGAATGTTACTGTAAATGTTCTTATGGAGAAAGACTTGCCTTAGCCGCTGTGGTTGATACCGCCCTAGAAATTGTAAAAGCAGAAGCTCTTGATTGGGCTCAGAAAGATCAGGGTATATGTATAACAGGACAGGTTGCTTAGGTTTTCAGCTTGATGGGGAAAGTAGATTTACACATGCTGCTTTTCCTCAAACAGGTCAATTTAATTTTCTTTAGGAATACTTCAGTTTGTCTGTCTTCCTTCATTTACTTAGTTTATTCTTTCGTCTCTTTTGCCCAGGAGATTGCATCAACAGTTTGAAAGCTATAAGGAGCAAGTGAGAAAAATCGGAGAGGAAGCAAGGCGTTACCAGGGCGAGCACAAAGATGATGCCCCTACGTGTGGGATCTGTCATAAAACAAAGTTTGCTGATGGATGCGGCCATCTCTGCTCCTATTGCCGCACCAAATTCTGTGCACGCTGTGGAGGCCGTGTGTCTCTGCGATCGAACAATGTGAGTGTCCTGTGAACACAGCAGGTGCCCAGGAGCTGAACAAAGCTACCACATTTGCAAGCATGTAAATGCATGTATGATCTGAGGCTGATGCATGCGTGTAATATACACAGGAATACATCCTTTTGTGATTTGAGTTTTTATAAGATGCAAATTAGTGGGATAGTGATAAATATAGCACCGAAAAAGATACTTTGCCTATGTGTGGATAAATATAAATGATTCCCATTTCAAGCCAAAAGTATACCTGTCTAAAGCATTTATTTTTGAAGTAAATTTAAACTTAGTATCACTAAGGATTATAATTTCAGATTTACTCTCAAGCCAAAGAAATACTGACAAGTTTATACTTGTCAATATGCTTTTATAAGTATTCAAGTATTTAAGGAACATAAGAAATAAACCCATTTTTAAAAGTTGGCATTATAAGATGTATTCTTACCTGAAGCCGTTTCCTAATTTTGCTGAAATAAAACCAAGGTCTTCTGCTGTACCATAGTTTTAAGTTAGCACAAATATTTTATGCTTTAAGATTCTAAATAAATAATTCTAATGTAACAGAAACCAAATGTTACCATGCAAGACCCATATTAACAAATATTTGCTGTAGAATATATTTCATACATATTCTACAATCTATATTGTATTCTATTCATATTGAAGTCACAATGCAATGAAATACAATACATTTATAATCTTCTCACATTATCTGTGTTAAAACCATAGAGTTGTTTGTAGAGAAGTACAAATTAATTCTTTGGTTGAGATCTGTAGTATAGTATTGAACAATTGTAATGGTCACTGCCTTAAAAATTCCCTAGTAGTTAGCTCAAGAATCTAACCATGTGTAGAATATGATATATTTATTTTAAACCACTAAAGCTTTAACCACTCTTGAAATTCTTCTAATTTGGAAAAAATCAATTAAAATTGAGAACAAACTTCCCAGTTGACCAGGTATTAATTGGTCGTCTAAATTGTCGTAGGGCATTCTACATTCTCTTCCAGGGGGATTATAACACAAAGTCTAAAAAAGCACATTTTATACTTCCATAGAAGACCAGTGTTGTCTCTGACCAAGAGTTGCCTTAACTGTAAGCAAAGAATAGTGATGATCCTTTTGTGCTTGTTCTGAGAGCTGGATAAAAATAATTTAAGCCAACGACATCACATGAAGAGCCCACAAGATCTTTATTAATCCCTTCTCCTGTTTTCAATGTCTGCAAACACATACTTTGGAAATGAGCTTTTGTAGGTGAGGCCGGGAGGTATTGTACCACTTAATCCCTCTGAAAGGCGCTGGCAGTGACAGTTAGTCTACACCAGCTGAGGCTTAGTGCTGCCTGAGGACCAGCAGCTGTTGAGGTTCTTAACTTCCCTTTACAGGGTTGAATCCTGCCAGCTGCCACACAGTTGTTTGCTGGCATCTCGAAGTTGTTAGGGTCAAATTCAGGTTGTTTAAAGAAAATTGATCCAGGAAATACTTTTTTTTCTTTGAAGCACATAGTAAGGCCTCTTTTAGTTCATTCCTCTTATAGTAAAATCACCCCAACTTGGAAAGAAATTTAAAGAAATAAAATTGAAGACAGTCCAGCCTAAAATGTTGTCTATGCACAAAAACACAATATTGTATAAAGGTGTTTTCTCCTATGATAAAATATTGAAATACATATAAATAAATACTATTTTTATTGTTATGGAATAAGTCATGCCTAAAATACTTACATTTTTCTGTTTATGACTCTTTTTATTAGTATATTTTTCATAAATTTTGTATTTAACAATTTTCACTGGAATTTAATAAAATTTTAGCATCATCTAATGTATTTTAATAAAGTGTTTTCAATAATAAGAGGCAACATGTGGCTAATTGACATTTTTTCTGAAGATTTCCTTGGATTTTGCTTTTGAAATATTGCTTGCTATTTCTAGCATCTTGCTATTAATTGCTGCCAATGTTTAGATATTTCGGCCTCAGTTCCCTAGTGCTAGAATTACAGGTGTATGTCAGGACACCTGGTACCAAAGAATGTTTTAAATGTAGACCTACTAATCTCAATACTAAAACTCAGGAACCAGGCCCAGTTCTTACATCCAGTACATGGTAGCACATGGTAGGACCTGTGTGTGTGTGCTTTCAGTATAGAGTTTGCTTTTTCTGTTTTAACACATAAGTGTCTTAACACATTGAAGAAATGTATTTGTTGTGATAGCATCACTTTGTTAATGTATGGCTCATTCTTGTTTTTCTTCTCTCTCTCTCTTCTCTCCCTGCTCTGCTTCCTTGGATGTTTTCCCAAAGGAGGACAAAGTGGTTAGAATCCATGCTTTCTTTTCTATGATTTGATGTACTGTGTATTTTTGTGAACTCAATTAAGTGATGGTTGCATATGAATCTGTTATCCCTAGCTTTCCACAGTGCAGTTTTATATTGGGGAGAACTCATCTCTAGCTACCATGAGACTGAAACTGAGACAGACATCTAAGAATCAGACAGAATGTTACATTTGTATACAAAGTTTGGGTAGACTGAGTCCTAGAAACAGTGAGATTTTGGTATATTTTCCAGCCCATTTCCCCCTTAGCTTTGGGATTGGGGTGATAATCTCATCTGTTTTTAGAAGCAGTAAACTCTACTGGGCTTTAGCTTCTGAGCACCTCTTAGGGTAAAAGCTAACAAGTTAAAACTTCACTGCAGGAGGAGACAAGGTATACAGATTTGGTACAGACAAGAGATCAAGTTCAAATCAGATATAAGACAAATCAAACTGACATTGCGTTTCCATGGGACCCATGGCATAATTTTCCTGCTGAGTCAGTTTGCCCTTTTCTTTGCTCTTGTGTCTAACAATTGCTTCCCGGGGATAGAGATTCTATTTAACCCTTATCTACCTTAGAATCCACAAAGGCTCCTTGCATTTTGAGAAGATGGGTTCAAGTGGTGTCTACCTTCAACATCTGTACTTTATACTCTGTATACCTTCCTCTGATACAAACGATCACATCCTCAGGGCTCATTCATTTCCCCAAGTGGCAAAGAGGCAAGGAATATATCGGATCCATTAATCATTTTAGTTGCCTTTGTTAATATCTTTGAGATTCAAATGGTGTACAACAGTTCATGATGAGCAAGCCTGACATTAAACTGAGTATTAATCTGTGTTTTCAAACATCATGCTCATTTCTGGCCATGACTTTTTTCTATTGAAACACAGTTGAAAGTTTGTACAGAACAATAGGTTTTCACCACATGTTGGTGGTGTGGGGGAATCATCGGTTTAAGGCCAATGATACCGCTCACTGAACAAATTAACTGGGCAACATTGCATACACAATAATAAATAGTATCACTTAGGACAAATCTATATTTGGAGGTGGACTTGAGTTGCTTCAGAGAACAAAAGGGTAAGTATGTAATAATAGTGTTGTTCAGACTTGTGATAAGCCCAGCTACTCCAGAAGGCCTGGCTAGGTACATGGTGTCTTTGACCATCTTCCCATGAGGAACAGTAGGTTGTTTTAGACATACTGGTCTTTCTATGACTATTGCCTGCACAGTGAGGACCCAGGGAGACTTTGTGATTACAATGGGAATGCTGTAAAATTCGATCACTTTCAACTATTTTATTCACTTCGAGTTGAAAGCGTGCACCAATTGTCTGGTGTATAAACTACTCATTTAAATTTCTCTGAACACTTTTTAGCCTTTGAGGCATTTCAGTGAATTACTGTTTCAGTCTAAGGAAAGTCATACTAGATTTTGTCCTTGGGCATGTTAAAGAGTATAACAATATTTTTTTTTAAAGATTTGTTTAATTTTGTGACAGTATGTGTGTGTCTGTATGCAAGCATATGCAAGGAGGGCAGAGGTAGCCAGAAGGGAATATCAGATTCCTGCTGGAGCTGGAGTTACAGGCAGTTGTGGAGCTGCCCGATGTGAGTGCTGGAAACTTTGCTCTAGTCTGTGTGAGAGCAGAAAGCGCTTCTAGCTACTGGAATATTCTTAAGTCCCAGAATGATTGAGTGTGGAAACTAGTGTTTGGGTTCCAGTCCTTTCTTTATTTTCCAGAGGATGATTATTTTGCCAGTGTGTGTGTGTGTGTGTGTGTGTGGGTGTGTGTGTGTGTGTGTGTGTGAGAGAGAGGGGGGGGGGGGGGGAGGGAGGGGGGGGGGGAGGGTGGGAGGGAGGGAAAGAGGAGGACTAGGAAGGAGAAGGAAGGAAACAGAGAGGAGGGAGGGGGGAGAGAGCATAGGAAAATAATAACTCAAACTTACCTTAAACCACATTTCATCAGTATGATAATGCTGAATTCGACCTGATCTTATAAGTTGGTTTAAATGTGATTAAATGACTAAAGAAAACCCAAGGCTGTTTAATATGTATATATCTATAGTTTCTTAATTAAGTCCAGCTAAATGATAATTATCATATTTTTTATTCCAGAACTACTTGAACTACTTTGTTTTGAAACTTTATCCTTACCCTAAGTCTTCTCTAACCATAACTTGGAAGACTGCGAATTGCTCATAAGAAAGAACTGTCATACAAAAGGACATAGGTGTAGGCATGTGTAGTAGCTTATAATGGAAAATGATTTTGTACGCGTGCATAATTTCATTGTCAAAACTAAGATTGTGTGTTTTATCTTGTTGAAAACCCTCCTCCACACATAAAATACAGGGATACTGTGAAATTTCCTATAGCCTATTTAAATTAGTTTTATCTTTGTTTTACTCCATTTGGTGGCAGAGGGTAGAATTTAGATCAATCCCTTGATAACATTCACGCATTCTGCTGGTAAATTTGGGGAATGAAGCCTCTAAATTCAATTCCCTGATTTCCTGTAAATTTCCATCAGCCTTCTAGTGAGAAAGGCTGGATTATGAATGGAGCAAACAAACGAACTGGTTACATTTTTAGTTTATTTGATTTTCAAAGAGATGTATCAGGCTTTATGTTAAGACTATTTATGAGAAACATTGACATAACTCTGCAAACAGAACCCTTTCCGTTTTGATAGTCTCTCAAAATGTGAAACCATTAGATGAATATCTTCTAAGATTTGTATGTAAAAATCATTTTATGTATTCATGATAATTTATTTTATATAATATACATAATTATACGTATTATTCATGATAATAAATAATGAGATGCTGTGCTTAGGAGCCACTTTTTAAATACTCCTGCCTATTACATTTTCATTGGTATTTATAAAAATTATATTAAAGGCATTGTTGATAAAAAAAAGTGTGGTTTTGCGTTCTGAAAACCTTATATTACAAGGTTTGCCTTGAAATGGGACAGTAAAATGTAATATTAAGTTAGTCTTATCATAAGGTCTTACTTAAATGATGGCTAATCCTTTTTTGCCACTTTTCGTTCTTTTATTTTAATTATTATTATTCTTTAATCTGTTTTTACAGTCCAGTCATCATCCCCCTCCTGGTCTGCTCTCTGACTGTTCCTCATCCCATTCCTCCTCCCCCATCTCCAAGAGGATGTCCTCACCCCCCACAACCCCATGCCACCAGATGTCCCCACTCCCTGGGACCTCAAGTCTCTCAAGGGATAGGTGCATCTTCTCCCACTGATTCAGAAGAGTATATAAAATCCCCTTATGCAGACATGAACACAAGCAGTCTATTCTTTAATTATAAAATAAGCAACTTTGATTTTTTTCCCTTGCTAGAATTAAAAACAACCAAGTCAGAAAATTATAACTATTTAAAACAAGTGATTTGCATGATTGCATTAAATATTTATTATTATTGTGAAAATTTTTCTCAGAGTTGTCCATATTTAGTCCGGAGGTGATGAGGCAGAGGCTTCTAGTATACAGACTTAGCTCATTTGAAGAATATTATTTTTAAGATTTTCTTGAGATCTATTTTTTTCTAGAAATTTTGAATTTTCTGAAATTTCTCTTAGAAATTTATCCCACAAAGATATTCTTTATTTGGATATACTTAGAGTTAATGTGGAAAAGTATATATGTATGGAAGATATATAAGTAAAAAAATCTTAGGTTATATCAAGAGAGAACTGATGTTATACTAGTTGGTGAGTTAGATTTCTCAAGCATTCTGGTTTTATGGAACTTACCTTAAAGGGAAAACAGCACATAAATTGCAAATAGGATAGCTGTGAATTCTTGCGTGTCTGTGCTCGCCCACGAACACACATGTGTGCTTGTATGTACATGTGGAGGCCTGAGATGTCTTTATCAACTGCTCCTTCATTTTTCTTCATTTTGTGACAGGGTCTCAATGTGTATCCCTGGCTGCCTGCAACTTTAGACCAGGCTGGCTTGGAACTCACAGAGCCCTCTCACTCCCAAATGCTAATGCTGAGGCTAAAGGCCTATGCCACAACACCTGCTTCCAATTTACTTTTTGAGACAGGATTTCTGACTCAACCTGATTCCATTAGACTTACTACACAAGGAGCCCAAAGAATCCACTTGGGCGTGTATCAGTAAAAGGATTATAGCTACAAGCCACCACACCTGGCTGTTTAGGTCCCCATGTTTATGTGGTAAGCATTTTACTAAATGAACTATCCCTCTGACTCCAGATGCAGAGTTTTCATACCGATGTATTTTAAGACTTTGATTCACTAGAGGCTACAGATATGACTCAGCAGTTAAAAGCAATGGCAGCTCTTCCAGAGGACCTGGATTCAATTCCACCACCCACCCAATGGCTCACAACTGTCTGTCACTACAGTTCCAGGGGATCTGCCACCTTTGGGTCTCTGCAGGCAGCAGGCATATTCATGCAGGCAAAACACCCATACGCATACAATAAAACTTCAAATTCTTTTACGAGTCTTTAGTAGTTCACACTTAACACTGCTATTCTGGAAATGTTTGATGATATTAAGAATCATCAGAGAGTTTATAGGCTTGCTTGGTTTTGATCTCGTTCACTTCCTCAGTATGACTTTTAATAGTTATAAAATGTGTTTTAGGAAATTATAAAGCTCCATATTAAGACGAGCAGAGCTTTACTAGGTTGTAGAAAATGAGAATTTTCTATTGTGAAGAAAGGGATGTTTTAACAGTTTCCAAGTAGCATATGCTGGAATGATGTACTGAATTTTGTCTTAAGACACTGTAAAATCTGCGATTACACTAGTTGTAGAATTTCTGGGTCTTGTGATAACTCCATATTTAACTTCTTGAGAAATACTCAGACTGTTTCCCACTGAAGGATATTGTCAGTTCCTCCAGTTTGGGTCATTATTTGTCACTATGTCATTCTTCCTCTCTCTTGCTCTTCCTCTGCCTGCCCCATTCTCTCTCCTCCCCT